CCAACGTTTAGAAGGGTTAAGGACAARACAACAACAATCGTGCTAAGCAAGCTTCCTTTGATCGCTGAATGCTGGAATAACCTGAAGGTCTCTTCAGCATTTGCTGAGGCTTGAGCAGTCTTCACACATATGTAKACGGGCTTGTAATCACTGAGTACCGCTTCAGATCACGTACTCGCCAGTCTCTAATCTTCAGTTTCAGTCTTCGACATTAACTGAAGGTTCTTTTGTGTGAGTGTTGTCTTCTTGAAGTATCGCTGTCTCTGATCAAATTACAATACAAGTTCTTCAGCGATCACTGAACAGGTTTAGTGATGATCGCTGGAACTGAAAAGACAGAAACAAAAATACAACGTATAAGTGAAAAGATTATCATCAAATCACTGAGAGAGAGGATCAACAATCTCCCCCTATTTGATGATAACAAGACAACATAAAGAAAGTTGTCTTATGAAATAATAGTAAGGAAAAGTTACACATAAAGTACATGTCTCTTTTTATTATTTTGGGATCTTTTTCAGTGAGTCAGTCTTTGCTTGAGAATTTTCCTTTAGTTATATCAAAGAAAAAATTACAAGTATGGAGACTGAAACTGAAAGCTTATTCACTGACTTATAGATTGTCAGTGAATGTAAAAAGTAACACTGGAACTCATAGACTTGTGTCCCTATTAACTTTTTCAKGGATCTTTTTTAGTGAAGTACATGAAATACTCATTTTATTGTCATTGGTAATATTACAAGTAGTTCAATACATGTCTAATGCTTACAGACTATAAGAATAATCACTGAAAGTAGACATAGTACAAAAAGTTACAAGGAAAAGTGGATTGTTGTTACAAAAAGAAACTATTCTAGAACACTTGGATCTATGTAACCAAGTACATCTTCACCAAGGTTTCTTCGACGTAGGAATTCCCTTCGTATCTTCAGATCTACGACTTTTCCAGGCATGCTATCATCTATCCAGGTTTAAAACTCCTAACTCAGGTTTAAAATGCATAGTATTGGGTGTATAGGGACACTTATCTGGCAAGTCAAGATTCAGCATAGAAATGTTTGTATTCTGATGAGCCTTCAGGACTTCATCTAAGGAGAACTTTGTTTCATGTTATACCAATTATAATTTTTACAAATATTTCTCATTTTCTCTAAATCACAATATTCCATCCTTTTATTAAAGATAAACAACATCTATTTCAAGTTGAAACTAATATTTCTATGGGTTTGGCCATAAATAATACGTCAGGTTTGCTTAGATTAACCTACAGGGGGTAACGGATGCAAGTTAGACTTTAGAACAAGTCAAAATAGGTAGAGTCGGGTTAGATATGTACTCATAAAATGGTTAAAAATAGTTTTTATTTTTATGTTTTTGACATATGATTAATGAGTTTGAATTTAAAGAACAGTTTTTGTTCATCTAGCGCAAGCTTGGGTGGGAGATGAGGTGCTCACAAAGACAGAAAAGCAGGTGAATGCGAGTCGTGAAGGTGAGCTTCCATGGTAACCAAGTTAGCGACAACTGAGGCAGAGTGAGCTTTTGAGCTTGCATAAGATGTGTTAGTTCGAAAGCCACCTCCAGGTCATGTAACAGGCCCCCTTGACCTCTAAGACCACTGGATTGACCAAAAATATTTTTTATGCGAGTTAAGCAGTTGTAGATGTTTAATATGAGAAATAGATAGTAAGTTCCTCCATATAGGTGCAATCCTAAGGTAACAAAGCCAAGTTATAATACCAACCGAGGACCAACTTCGTTAACGTTGCATGTCATGTTAAATCGTTGAGCATGCTCATATTTAACATGCAAGAATGATCCATGAAGCGAGGACCAACTTTGTCAACGTTAACAGTGAGTTGTGGCCACATTAACAACAATTATAAATGGAGAGTTATATGAATTATCTGTGAGAATGATATGTAAGTGCATCAACATCCTATTATACATGTGAGTTAATGTTTCTTGTTGCATGATACGTTATGTGAGAAACATGTAGTAATGATATGTTTTGTTATTTTGCCGAGTTGTTTACTAAATTATGAACTCACTAAGCTTTTTAAGCTAATTAGTTATGTGTATCTCAGGGCTCGGCATGAAAGTCAGAGATTGGTAAGGGCAGAGGGCAAGTCTAACCCTAGTTTGTTGATAACATCTTATATAGATTTGTTATGTTTACTCTTGTTTGAGAACAACATCAAGTACATTGATTTTGTGGTTCTGTAGACGATTTAAGTTATTGGTTATATTCCTGTTGAGTTATTCAAAATATTTTGCTGTGTTTTTTTAAGTTACAATGGAGCTAGTCGTGCCTGCTTTTGTGAAGGAGGGGGCATTTTTGTCTTTTTTTCCTTTCAAGAGAGACCGAACCTTCACTTGCTTTCACCCACCTATATCATACACCTTCACTTAATTTCATGTACCTCTGCATACTTACTAATATTAACATGACTGAAACTTTAACAAATTTATGCATGCGAAAGTGATTGAAGGTATGTGAAAGTAACTGAAAATGAAGGTGAATGAATGTCCAATCTCCTTTATAGTCATGCCATTAAAGTTTCATATATTAATATGCCACTGCATTTTTGTGAGCCGTTAGATAAAAGAACTTATCCACGTGAATGCCTCTACCAATACTACAACAACAATAGATGTGAATGATTTTCGTTGGGATCCATCAGAGAGACCAATTTTTATATATACTCGTAATCATAGAGATAAATAAGTTATATCCATATGATTTTAATTAAGTGGAAAGAATGAACGACTCTTGGGTGTGAATCTGATATCTAATATGACGTTGGGCCTCGAGATGAAAAATTTGCCAACTTAAATAGTATTGTCGACCTTGCTAAACTGTTGGTGGAAACAAGTGTAATATTAATTATTAAAGCTGGTTTTGGTTTTGTTTGCTACAACTGCTACAATCGGTAGATGTTTTTTCTACAATGAAGTTGTCAAGTCAAAGTATATATGTTAGAGACAAATATAATTAACCATGTTCAAAAAATGAAAAATCAAAAAATAATTGTATGAAATATTTATTTATAAATATTATGATATTTATTTTATGCCACCACTCATATAATTTCTTATTCCTGCCTTTACTAGCATTCAACATTTAGATATGAGTAGTGATGGCTAAATCGATCCGATCTGGGATCCACAAAGGACTGGTTATGAGGCTGAAAATCGGGATCGGTTGGGGTTTTTTGGCAGTTTCGTGGGACCGGTTATGGTTCGATGCGGCCCAAAAATTCAAATAATTTTATAAATAAATATATTTTTAAATAATTTTATAATGTATTTTTGTAAGACAATATAATTTTTATTATATTAAAACGCATTTTTAAAGTGTATTTGAGTTACCCAATTACAAATTTTATAATGTATTAAAAATATATATCATTAAAAAATATTAATAATGCCAGGACCAGCGGCCCATAACCGGTTGTGAAGAACCTTGACCAGTCTTACCACTTTCGACCGGGACCGGCTATAAGAAAGCTTAGGACCGATTAGGACCGGCCCGACTTGGCTCGGGACCGGTTTTTGATCATCACTAGATGTGAGTATAGAATTAAAACTATTAATTATTATGAACTTGATTAATAATTAATTTTATATTCACATTTTTCTTTATTGAAAATAATATTATTATATATTTAATTAATATTGAAATGTTTTTTATTAAATTATATACCAACTTAAAAAAGATTTTATTCTCTTAAAACAAAAGAATTCAGTTGGCCAATTTCCCTTTAATAATATACATATCTTTTAATTAAAAGACACCTTTTTGGCCATACCAAAATGTGACACACACCTTCCCCCCAAAAAAACACAAACATGAACTCTAATCGAAACCAAAAGGTCTTTGGCATAGCGGTATCGTAGCCCTTGACCTTCTAGGAGGTTAGGGGTTCAAACCTCACCATAGGTGAGGAGAGTGTGTGAGCTTATTTGTTGCATTTGTCGTATATAAATATTATATACTTCAAAAAAAAACTCTAATTGAAACAAGGTTAATTTGATTTGGATATGAAATTGGATTTTATTACAATCTTTTGATTAATTTAAAGAGAAACTGTTTGAAATTAAAATATCAGGATTTTAATAAAATTTTATAAATACTTGAATTTAGAAATCTTATAGAAATAGTTGGTATTTTACGAGGTTTCATAGAATTATTTGTAATAATATTTTAAAATATATTAATTATAATAATCAATTAATGAAACACAATTTAATTATTTTTATAATTAGTTCGACTTGTTTTAATAAATTGTTTATAAAAAATAAAAATTAATTCTCAAATATAGATTTCAATTCCTCCCATAAAATTCAAATCTTCCAAAATTATTCCATCAAATTAAACATTCCATAAGAAAATTTTTGACCAAAAATCATCAAATAACTTCTTTTTAAAATTATTAAAAAAAAACAAACCTTTGCCAAAATATATATATATATATACAAAAAAGGTGGTTTTCAACATATTATGGCCCACCATCGCACTAAACTAAAGTGACAAAAAGGGGATTCTCTTGAGCACATTTACAAAATTCTTTGGCTACTTTGATGATTTTTGTAATAAACGGTTACTTAAAGAATTGTTTGTTTATTTTTTAATAGTTTCATTAAAAGATAATATCTGAATCATTAAAAAATGGATCTTGTTTTGCAAAAAAAAAATCTGTCTCTTAATGGTTCTAAAACTCTCTGAATGATTTCGTATGCTGAACATCCCTTAACCATTCAACGCCGTAATTTCGTTGTAAATAATTACCAAACAATTATATTTCATTTTGCACTATAAAATAAAAATTTGTTAATCATTCTAATCACTTAATCATTTTGCTCCAAATCATTCAACAACTACAAAACATCCTCTTGTTGAAATCTTTTGGCCAGAATCTACCTAAGTATATATCCTGCTTGAAAACAGAATCTACCTTATATAGAATAGGACGACTCTGTAAGTAAAGAACCCAGCATGAACTATAATTGAAATATTACCCTTCAAATTTATTAACCACAATATTGAGATGCAAAACATAACAAAATGTCATACCAAAAAAAAAAAATCAGAAAATGATGGATTTTTTTTCTAAACCTATACATACATATATTCACCTCCTCGGACCGCATTTGCAGCTCCTTTCCTCTCTTCTTCGGCCTCCTTTTCTCGCTCCTTTCGACTTTCATACTCATGATCATCTGTCCGCAATTCATGTCGACAAATTGGGCAAGAATTATGCGCATCCTGCCACAGAAAGACTACGATTCTCAGAACCCAAATTCAATCATTTTTTTCATATTAACACCTATAAGTCGATTGTCCGGTGAGTAAAGGGAAGTAATGGTAGTTCTGGCTGAAAAGGTAACAAGTAATTACCAGCCATGGCTTCAGGCAAGGAGGATGAAATGTGTGCTTGCATGGCATCTCTTGCATATTGTCATTTACCACCAAATTCTCCTTACAAATGGCACATTCGGCATCTGGTCCCAACTTGCCCAAGATCTCATCTGTAATAGTAATAACCGGAAGCTTTGCAACCACTTCTTTACTTGCTGGTGGTGCTCTTGGGGCCGAATCTCCCTCTGGGAACTGCAAATAAACAGCGATATTTACTCTAACGAGTGATTCACAAAAGATAACATAAAAGAAACAAGCCCTTGTATCCCACCCGGATGTGGGGTCTGCAGGGTGGGATCTGAGGTGAATCCATGATTTTTTTTAAACAGTGATACCATTTGACTATAAAGGTAAAAAAATATAGAATTTTTTTGCAAAATCATGATTGATCAGTTGGTTGGTTGGTTGTTTGTATTTGCGAAGAAAGGTCATCGGTTCGATTCCCCCTCTCACAGCTACTTTCCTCCAAATAAATTTTAAAAAACAGAAACTATAGAAAACTAATATTAAAAGCTAAAAAAAGGAATTTTGCTAGCAATGGGATTCGAACCCACACTCCTTCGAAAAGGAAAGTTTAATATGGCGACTCAAACCAACTCAACGACCTCAAACTGTCAAAAGTTTTGTTTAGGAAATATAGGGGCACACAACAAAACATTATGTTGGAACCCTTCAAGAAAGCAAAAAAAATTCTCCTACTACGAAACCATGAAGCAATGGCACGGGCCACCATATGCTCCCACATTGGTCCAACCCTGGGCGGGATGTAAGCAATCCTGACCTCTACCCCAAAGAGTAGAGCTGTTGTTTCCATGACATATATGTGTGAAATAAAGAGAGTTTCTCCAAAGACTAGAGGAAATAGCAAAAAGAGAAGGGGGATTAGATTACCATTGCCACAAGTCTGTCAATCATCTCCTGTGGTAGACTGGACTCGTCCGATACGTCAGGCATAAGTTCATGAATTCTGTCCATCAGCTCCTGTGGTAGATTGTTTGATCCCTCTGATGTGTTATCTCGAGATGGCTCAGCTTGAGCCATGGAAGCAGCAAGGGCTGTCATCAGATTTGATTGAACCAGCCACTGTGGCTGTGGAGGCTCTTGGTCCACCGTAAGATGCCCTTCAAATAGATATCCTGAAATGAACAATATCAGAAATGTAAATGTTAAACTCTAACAAGTAAAAGAAACAATATATTCGATACATATGGCTTCTTGACACTACGAGGAATGACCTTGACTTCTCCTGTTTTGAGCAGATTCCTCAGGCTGGTTGTCGATTTCACTTAATTGCTCTCGGGCTCTAGCTATGCAGGTCCGCAAATGTTCCCTTTCAGAAGATTCAGACACCAACTGTTCAGCCTCCAGAAAGAGCCCTTGTCCGGCAGACCAAAATCCAGGTGAGGTGTATCTTGTCTTCAATATAGTTGCAACTCGTGATATGACGGTGAAAAACTGTGGCATCCAAAGAAGGTTTGTGATGGTTAAAATTGGAGTGAAGCCGAATAGGACGGACGCCCTCAACTTAATTCCTCGGTTGAGTGAAACAAAAAGGGTACAAAACATAGCAGGCATGAATCTTGATCATATAGTACTAGATCCACACTTCGGTCCAAAGAAAAGCAGACGACACTGGCAAGTATAATTGGACGGGAGAGCATATTTCCTCCCTTTCCATTCTTCTAACAGAGATTAAGTAGAGAAAGATCAACACAGGATGTGTTGTGAGGAAGAATGATCTAATAACAATCAAAAGGGAGTAAAATTTGATGTGTTAGGCCAGCTTAAAGGCTAGGCCTTCAGACTCCTCCCCATACGCTGCCAATTAAAGTCTGCTAAGGCCACTAGGGATTTCCTGACCACATGGGATTAGTTGAGGTGCACGCAAGCTGGCCCGTATCACCATAGTTACCAAAAAGATTTGACGTGTTAGAGAAAAGGCAGGTTAGCTAGGAGAAAACATGTCGAACGTATTTTCCTATTAAAAAAATCCTGTTAAAAGGATTAAGACCTCCTACAGGAAACCTAGGTCGGTAATAGACTGAAACTTCAAGGAAAATCAGGCTTAACAAGGACTGGAGCCTCTAGAACAGACCCTTAACCCTGTAGCATGCTGAAACTTTATGGGCATCACCAGATAAATTTCACTCTTCATGAATCCCGGTGGCACATCAATACATATTTGCTTTTCAAATTGGATTCTCAAGCCATCAGTATGAATGTCCCTAGTCCTAATTTTGCGAATGTTTTCAGGCCATCATGTATATGAATGATGAATCTACAAAAGCATTCTACGCTATTCCTAACTTTTAATAATTTCTATCTGTTGATCACATCTCGTTTATGCAATGTGGCATGTAACCAAAGAAGGTTACTGAAGATGGCATCATACTTTTTCATAATTAGAGCAAGTTAACTTGCCAAAAGGTGTTCACTCACCAATAAGAGATATTAAAGTATAAGCATGCTATTCGACGAACAAACAAGATGAACAATATAGGCAACATGCAAAATGAGTAACCAAAATGTAATAATCTGTCGACATAAAAACTTCAAATCATGAAATCATCACCGAAAGCCAGGCATGAAAATTATCAAAAGGGTTTACTTCATTCTATTGATCATGTTCAGTTAAACGTCGATCTTCTAAAGCAATTGCTTAAATTTTGGACCAGGGGTAACTAGATCATCAACCTTTAACTACAAGTAAAGGGAATTGCAAGTTTAGGTGATGATCATTAGTTCAAACGCCTTTGATTGACCTTACCACCAGCCACAACACAATTCCATCAATAAATTTCAAGCAGGAAGTTGATCTACTTCGTTAAACAGATTGCAACAACAAAGAGGAAAATCCCCTTTCAGGAGAAGAGGGAAACCCTAATTTTCAAATGATGACATCCAAAAAAGCAAACAAAATTGTTAAAATTACCGATTTACGAAGAGAAGGGGAAGCAGAAGGGTAAAATTGATGGAGCAGAGATCTAATTGAAGCCACAGCCTCTTCAAACATTTGCTTTTTCCCCAGCTGCTTCTGTAAATCTTGCAATTTCAGCTTCAACTCATCCTCACGTTCCATATCCCTTTTTGATATTCAATATTGGAAATGAAAAAACCCTAAATAACTTTCGCTCTGAATCAATAATCTTGATTGATGAATTTGAATTGTGGCTCCTCTGGGACGTTATATTAACGATGGATGTCTTGCATAGGGGGAAACCTGCCAACTTCAGGAACCTTCAAGCCACGATCCTAAAGATTTTCCATTAGAAAAACATTTTAATTTAGGAAAAATTGTATTAAATTTGCATCAAAATGGAATTAACTTTCACATTATTTCTATTGTGAAGAATTAATTTTTAAAATTATTATTTAGGGGTCTTTATTTTGTTTATTTAAGGGTCTGATTGACCTGTTGACCTGTTAATGTCGACATCATTCAGATCTTTTGTCAACTAAGATATTTCACATCATATTAATTTTTTATTTTAAAAATAATATTCCACGTCATATTAATTTTTTATTTTAAAACTAATATTTCATGTCATATTTAAAATTATAAAATAATTATAGAAAAATAACTAAAATTCGTTTTTTTAAATTATTGTAATAAAATCTAGTTTTCATTCTAATCTCGTTTTAAAAAAAAATTCAGATATCAAATTGAAGAATTTTTCAAAAAAAAAATCCAAATTACCAAAATAAAAATTGTTTTTTACTGCTGCAATAAAAAAAAATTAATGTAATAGAAAAAATTAATTTTTTATTGCATCAATAAATATTTGATATTTATTTTTTATTACATCAATTAATTTTTTTAATTAAATTAATTTTTTTATTGCATTAGTAAAAAGCAATTTCTATTTTGGTAATTTAGAATTTTTTTGAAAAAATCTTCAATTTGATATCTGGTTTGTTTTAAAAAAAAACGAAAATTGGAATGAAAAATAGATTTTATTACAATAATTGTTTAAAAAAACAAATTTTAGTTATTTTTCTATAATTATTTTTGCAATTTTAAATATGACATTAAATATTAGTTTTAAAATAAAAAATTAATATGACATGGAATATTAGTTTTAAAATAAAATTTTAATATGACGTGGAATATTAGTTTTAAAATAAAAAATTAATATGACATGAAATATCTTAGTTCACAAAAGATCTGGATGATGTCAGCATTAACATGTCAACCAAACCCTTAAATAAACAAAAAGTTTGATAGAGATCCCTAAATGACAATTTTGAAAGTTGGTTCTTCAAAATAATAATCAGGTGAAAGTTAGTTCCATTTTGGTGCAATTTTCTCTTTAATTTAATTAAAACATATTAATCAGAAAAGGTTTAATATGTTTAAAGCTTATCGAAGAGTTATTTGACTTAGGATCGTTTACCAAACAGTTACCCAGTAATCGTTTACCGGTAAAGTTTAACATTATCATTTACTTATCGAGTAAAATTTTAGTCCACCAAAACGGTATTGTATGCGACAATTTATCCGGTAAGCTCTTACCATGGTAAGAGTCGTCGCCCTCACTTACATGGTAAGACTTTTGGTCCTTGTCTCGCTCTTATTGTGTAAGATTCTTGATCCTTACCATATTCATCCGATAAGGTAATGTGACTTGGTGTTCACTTACCTGAGTAAGCGTTTGGTAAACGACCCCTTAGTTTTTCAAAAATATCCTTTCGGGTTGAGTCCTTCTGGGCGCTAAGCAAGCGACCTATCGGGACGCTATGTATTGGAAAAAGGAGGGGGAGGGAAGGTGTAGGCCGGTTCAAGAGTTGTCAATTATAACCCATTTTCAAAGACAAAACGAATAAAACATCTGCAATATTCATACATCAAAAAGCGTAAATAGCAATGAGTACCAATTCATCAAAACAACTATCAATCGATGCAAAGAAAGGGCGAGAGAGGTGGAGCAAGGGAGCCGTAACATGACATCCATTACTGGCTTGAACGACCTGTTGCTTGAGATGTTTTGTTTAATTTAAACAAAGGGTCAAAAATAAGGTGAAGATGTGTTAGTTATAGTGGCGGACACTGAATCTTTCTAAGCAAGTGCAACTTTAAGGTGAATCAGGGGTCTACAAAGTACCGGTGTTATCTAAAGGGAAAGTCAATGCAGTTTGACATGGGGAAAAATCAATTGTCTGAATTTGGGGAATAAACTACATATTTTCAAATGAAATTTATTGATCTTTAAAATAAATAAAGAGCAAATTTAGGATTTGGTCCCTAAGTTATGTCAAAAATTATGAATTTGGTCCTTTCAACTTTATTTATTACAAAAGAAACTTCCACGTATGCATTTTGTTATGGATTTGGTCCCTCACACTAACCACCATCCACTTTCTCCATTAAGTAGGAGGGTATTTTTGTCCTTTTCATCTTTCTTCTTTCTTTGACCTCTTTTTCAAACCACAAGGACTAAATTTGTAATTTACTTAAATTTATATAATATTTTGAAACCCAGATATTTGAAACCTAGATCGTTCAAACCCACAAGGACCAAATCTTCATCACTGCTGGCATGACTTCTCAGGCGAATGCAGATCCACCATCTACGAGATCCAGATTTGAGAGAGAGCGACATGGTTCGAGAGAAAGCAAGATGGTTCTAAAGAGAACAAGATGGTTCTAAAGAGAACAAGATGGTTCCAGATCCACAATCTTACGCCGGCATGATCTGGGTTCGAGAGAGACATCCGATCTAGAACCATTGAAGTCGTGAAGCCATGAATCATCAAAGTCGTGAAAGAGATCTGGATTTGGTTGCTGCTCCAAGAACCATCGAGAGAGACATGGTTCGAATTGACTTCGGTTGTTGCTCCAAGAACCATCAAAGGCGTGAAACATACATATGATCTAGATTGTATTGGAGGTTATGAGTTCAAGTCATGTAGTTATAGGCTCCATGGGCCAGCCCTTGGAGGCGAATACTAAAAATTAAATATTTGCTCGGAATCGAACTTGGAATCAGATGCCTGATTTTTTTCTCTTACAATAATCGAGTGAGCGGTGTAACACCCTCATTTCTAATATGAGGTGCCACACAATAAAAATATAAAATATTCAAAACCTAACGGCTAATAAAGCCTTATTACAGGGAAAATCTTACAATAATTAAATTGTAATTAATATCTCAAAATTAATCTGTCTCATACCGAATTACGTTACATATAGATTCAAATATAATACTAAGCATATTGATAGTCAGCTTTATAAAGCTCAAGACCTTTGTCCTTGTCTGTCCTTGAACTCCTAGCTTCTGAGATGCATACTAATAGTTAGCTTTATGAAGCTCAACAAATTCATGGTTTTCATGCATAAAACATACATATCCTATTATGCAATATACGACAAACAGAATACTCAAATAATAATATGCACCTTTCTTTTAAAACCCCTTTTAAATAATAATGAGATCTCTAAAATTCTCATCTGGTTAAGACCTTATCGTCATCAGCTTTTCCTCCGGTTATATGGCCATCTCTTGTCCAATCACCCATCCCTAGGATTAGGGATGGCCAAATGGGCCCGGCCCGGCCTGGGACCGCCGGAGGACCGGGACCGACAAAGGACCGGCCCGGGACCGGGACCGGTAAGGACCGGTTATGGAACCGAAAACCGGGACCGGTTAAGGTTTTTGGTAGTTTCGTGGGACCGGGACCGACCGGGACCGGGACCGGTTATGGGACCGACTATGGACCGGCCCGACCCGGCCCGAAAATTCAATTAATTTTATAAATAAATGTATTTTTAAATAATTTTATAATGTATTTTTATAAGAAAACGTAATTTTAATTATATTAAAACGCATTTTTAATGTGTATTTGAGTGACCCAATTGTAAATTTTATAATGTATTAAAAATATATATCATTAAAAAAATAAAATAAAAAATCTTATTTTTTTAATGAAGGACCGGTTGGGACCGGGACCGGCGGCCCATAACCGGTTATAAAGTACCTATACCGGTCCTATCATTTTCGACCGGGACCGGGACTGAGACCGGGACCGGTTACGCCGGGACCGGTTATGGCCGGTTATGAGAATGGTGAGGACCGATTGGGACCAGCCTGGGACCGGTTTTTGGCCATCTCTACCTAGGATGCACCATCCCTTATGACTTTTTGACCTTTTCCAATACCTGACTAGAATAATAACCCGTTTATAACATGCTAACTAACATTTAGAACGCGTAAACAAAATAGCATACAAGCCATGATAATAATTCAAATACATGCAACGACCAATAAACATGTACATAAAGATAATATAATGCTCAAATAATCTGTATGTAAGCATGCGTCGTTAAAGTCTCATGTAGACTCAACTTGACTTAGTGTAGGTCCGCTTGTCACTAGACAGTTCTCGACCCTGTGTAAGTCGTATAATAGTTTTCTAAATATCTTTTCTTTTGAAAAAAAAATATAAATTCTCAATCAAATGATCTATCTACGATGTCCTAAAATATGATTTAGTTTCCAAATCTTTTGACCTAAAAAAATCCAAATTTTAGATACCTTACTACGATTAAAAAGTTAATTCTTAGTGTATATATATATATATATATATATATATATATATATATATATATATATATATATAGGGGCAGGTTCAAATGCGAACCGTCCAATTCTAAAAAACGTGTAAACCAAATTCGACCAATAAGAAAATTCCATTTGTTTTCAATTAAATTTAAATAATAAGGGTATTTATGACATTTTGTACACATATTTCGTAATTATGKAAGTTATTAATTCATATTATATAAGGAAATWAAATAAAATAAATATTGAAGAAAGGAAACGTTTCAATATATAAGGAAAATATATTATTAAAATCATTATTTTAATGATAACTATAATGAATAATGAAACAAATTATGAAGATTTCATCAAATATATTGATGAAATCGTGGGTTGCTGCAGGTGAAAAAAAAAAACAAATATTCATTACACTCTATAATCATGAAAAAGGTTTCATGTGTAAATGACTTATATTAGTCTTCAAAACATATTATATATATCAATGAAACATTGTCATGATGTAAAAAAAAATTCATATTCTAAGAGATGCAAGATTCGTGAAATGGGTTTAGTAAAATGAAACAGTTTYATTTTCGTAATACATTTTTTTATTTTATAAATGATTCAATAT